GCGCGCCTTTTCACGGCGAAGAGAGGATGAACTAATCACCGCGCCCATTAAATCGATCCAATCTCATCCGACTGCTATTAAACCCGAGTCAACTTGACATGGCAAACACGCGAAATAGAACGCGGCGGTGATGACAATGAGAATATTCCCATGTCTACGATAGCGTCTCTTATCACTGACTCCGGGGTTCATTTCAGGAAGGCAGCCGATAAGAGGAGCGTAATGCGACATAATCGCGAAATCAGGTCGCGACTCTGTTTCTCCTGAAAAATATTTTTTGCAGACTGTCACATCCGGAGCAAGAGGGGTGAAAGATGAACAGATTGATACAGCTTCTTCGAACAGGGAGATTTCCATTCAGGAGAAGCGTCCTCGCAATAACGTTTGGATTAAGCAATAAAATATAATATTAAAATATCACGTTTGTATTGTTGCTCTTAAACACACAATTCCTGCTATGTTACAGACTTTCAGCTCTTAAATCTTTACGACTAGAAACTTACGTTGCTCGCACGTGTTGCACGCGTGCGGCGCGCATAAACAGACATGATACATTTGGTATCTTTTTTTTGGCCTGATAGTTGTACAGTTCCTATTTATCTCGTTAGACCCAGCGCAAATAACAGTTCGAGGCCTTCGAATCAAGGGAATTATCAAAAGTGTTAAGTAAATGAACGTGAAAAATACTTGAGATTATTGGTCTTGAAATAAATGAGAAAATTGTAAATGATAATGAGAGCTATTCGAGAACAGTACGCACGCGTGTCTAGTTAAATATTTGGATAATGAATATAATTTTACAAAATGTTTCATAAACAATCCTTATCGTTTAAAGAATATGATGTACACATTAGAGATAAAGTGAAATTAAAAGATTTTAATAAACTGATGCTATCCAGAATTTCAAATAATTTCCAAATTGATACGTATCGGTATTTATGTGCCTTCTCTTCTTTATAACTCTTTATTCTTCATAGCTGTCTTTACATACTATTATCAATATTCATAGTTCTTTTAGTTATATTAAAGTTTTTAGTATGCTTAATATAACCATCTTATTGATTGAAATGTAATTTTCGGATCGATTTTGTATCTTAAAACGAAGTGAAAATGACAAAGTGAGGAAATTTACTAGATTTTGATACACAAGTGGCAGATACTTTAATGAATTTCCTCATTTTTGTTATTTTTACCTTATTTCGAAAATACAGAATCGATCCCTTAAGATGATCTTAAGTATAAAAATTGACTAATGACCGCCTAAAATGGTTACAAGTTTTTCAAATATGTATATATGTATATATTTAATACATATAAAATTTTATTTTTATGCGCATTTTATATATACAATATTTATAATAATTATATTTTTAATAATTAATAACATATAAAATTAAAAATATTCATTTTATAACAAAGAAATAATATATTTTAAACAACATCAATAAACTTCTAGCTCTTCTCAGGCTGGTCTTATTGCTACAATCAATTACTGTACGTTATGAAATGATAACTACGAAAGAAACGGACTTAACATAAATGCCATATCAATGTATCAATTCCAAAATTGCAAATCCTGGATGGCACCGTAACATAAACTATTACAATATAAAATTATGTAGATGAATATATATATATAATAAAAAGATTTCCTTGTCTTCGTTTTTTATATTCATAACTCTACAATGGTGTCGTCATTCCTGTTGATCGGATCTCCCTTGAGCAATGCCACAATCATACTAAAGAATGAAAAACATAAATTTACCATTCATATCTTATAAAAATAATTTTACTAACATGATACTTACCAATAAAGATAAATGAAGAAGAACACAAGACAATATCCGAGATGAATCATACAATCGCGCGTGTATCTCTTCAGCTGACTGCGATTGTGAATCTCCGTGGGATCATATACTCCCATATTACCACTGGGTACACTAAAGTATTCATAAAATAACCAAATTGTCATTGGTATGTTCACCAGTGTTAATATAAATTGTCCGTGTATCAATAACAGAAACACCAGAAACGTATGTGCTATCAACTTTGGCATCACTCCCTGCAACATAAATAAACCATAAATAATTTCTATTAAGCTTATACAATAGAGATATGAGACATATATCATACCATATTTAACTTGGAACAACATTCTTGCGCATTCAGGTAATCACACTCAAGATCCGATAATGTTATAATCTTCACAATTCAGTCAAGGAAAATAATAATCTATCAAGAATTAATTAATTAATCTCTTTTTCTTGAAACGGGAAGAAAATGAATTTGAAAATGGCACCACTGCATGGCTGCCAATGCCAGGCTAACCTCCATCGCGAGGAAAATCCCTCGTTCGCTTCTCGGAACGACTACTTTGCGGAGAAAGCCCGGTTTGAACGCAAAGAATGTGTTCGATCAACGAGACGCGGTCGGGTGATGAAAAAAAGGATACATAATACACCAGGAGAAATAGCACGGAACCCGTGTCGAGCAGCGCGATCGCGAACAGAAGCGGATCCGACATTAGGCCCATTGTGCTGCTGCTTCCGCGCGAAAACACGGCCGATTACATGAGATTTGCGGCTGCGACGCTCGCCGAACACCTTCTCCAGAAGCTCCTACGTCGTGCGAACGTTCGCCGGTCGAGACTTCGTTGTAAACTTCCAAGATATCACCAGATATCACCAGCTTAAAACACACACGTTAAAACACACACTTTCGATGTTGCCAATGGCGCCGCCGCCAAACCCTCAATCCCCTGCGATGTGAATTCTTGAATTCGCTCTCCTGTTAGCAATTAATTAATTAAGAGCCCTAACAGAATTATTTATAATGAAATTCCAAATTGTCTTTCTTAATCTACTCTTTCTCTTCAAACGACAAATAATTCTATTCATATTAATACAAAATGATATAAATAATTACTTGATAAGATAAATCATCAATTAAGCTAATCGGAGCTTAGTTGTTCACTCTATATTCAATCTATCAATGTAAATTAATAACTTTAATTTCTGTTAACTTTATCTTTTGTAATTCTTAGAACTATAAAAAAAAGTACATCAAAATTATACATATGCATTGATTGCAAAAATAAACGTAAGAATCAAAATACATATACATATTCATATATACATATTTCAGAGAAAAATATATTGAAAATATAAGTATACAAAACTTCATGGTGAAACTATTAATAATTTAATATTTTATACTTTTCTTTTACACTCTTTTAATCGAATCTAACACAGATTCACTATAATTGATTTTGAATCGATTAAAGCGAATCTGTATCATTACAATTAGATAGATAATATATCTATAATAAACAATTATCATACAGAGTAATTTGTATTATTTTATAATATGGATAGAATTATTTATTTCTAGCCGTTTGAAAAGAAAGATTAAATTAGAAACGATAAATAGATTAGAAAGATTAGAATTTCGTTGCAGACGTTTCTGTCGAATTAATTGTCGATTAATTAGTTATAAAATTAACCAACAGATGGCCGCGCGTGCGGAAAAAAATTTAGGCTGCGTTCCAATATTCACTGGCCGAAAATCTATAATATACGTGACACGAACTATATATTTTCAGTGCTGTTAGTAACATTTGCTTTGATCCTATTGATCGGACTGCGAAGCATCCGTTGTTCGAAAAATCAAACGAATTTTATGTATTATTTGTAATTGTATAGTAACGGAACAGAGACAAGCTACTTCGCGAATTTTGTGGTTTTGTCGATTATAAATACGGTGATGCTTGACAATCATGGAGTTGTGGGAAAAAATTATTTTAGAATGGGTAAGCAGTGATTTTACGTATCTTCGATGAAAAGCAACACATACAAATCCGTCTGTCATGAAGCTCCGATGTACACATTGTACATATGTCGAATCTTTTCAGTTTTTGAATGAGTCTTTCTTCATCTTCTCCTTCTATTTTTCGAAATTTCTTTATTTTGATTATTGAATAATGAACGTATTAAAATTTTTATTATCCCAGAGCTTTAATTATAATTAATTATAATTATATCGAAAAGGAAGATTTTACTCATAGATAAACGTTGGAATTTACAGATTAATTGTTTGAAAGTGCAGAAGGAAGTAATGAATAATATAACGGAACTGCAAGATGGAGTATTTTATGTCAATTATTTGAAATTAATGTAAGTACATTTATATATTACAATGTAAACTTGTTATCTGTCATTTAATTTGTCATGTTGCAGAAAATGGAAGAAACTAGAAAACTGTAACCAAAAGGATGTTATTTTGACATTTATGGAAGGCAAGCACATTCTTACGTTTTTGATGTCATTCAGTATTAGTTTTTAAAACCTACTTTGAAGCACAAAAATTTCTGTGGACTTGAATTAACAACGATACAACTTGGCTTAGTTTTTGAGAATTTTAAATTTAATTAATAGATATAATAGATATAATAGATGGAAATTTATGATCAAACCAAGAAAGAAATTCTATAACTGAACATTAGTCAAAATGATGGAATAAATTTTTTTTAAATGTATTTAAAGAAAAAGACTTTGAAAATTAATCAAGTACATGCACTTGACTAATGTTTATGTAATGGTTTTTGCAGATGTTTTAAATGACTTTTAATACGAGGAATTATCTTGATTTTTAAGATAAACAAGTGAATTTTATTTTTTAAATATGTTAAAAATATTCTTGAAAATGCCATTTGATTAACTTTAAAAGCTTTTTTTCTCAAAAATAAGCTTTTATATACATATTTTTTTTCTTCGAATATATATTAATATTTTTTGAATATATAAATATTCAAAGAATATTCAAGATATGTATATATAAAAAAATTCATTCTATTATTTCAATTTATTTTGTGTTTCAAAAAATCCCTTTTCAGCCATACCGTGAATTTCAAATTACTATGTACAACTAGAGAAATTAATACATTTATACTTTATCTATTTGCAGATGAATATCCTAGTTTTAAAGTTAATAAAGATGATGCTAAAGAGCATATATACATAGCATCTTTATTACTGTTGCACTTGTGTCGAATAATGTTTGCAATACATCATTCTCTGCAATACAACATGTGTGATAACTTAAAAAATGAAACGCAAGTTAGGGTTAAAGCTTTTCTTGAGAGCGTCCTGCCTCTTGACAAAGACATTACCAAGGAAACTATGAGAGAAGTTATTTTGGAGGTGGAGGATACATCGATAAGTATAAATAATCACAAAACGCCGCCTATTGAAGATTTTTCCAATTCTCCCTTAACACGTTCTGGACGTAGCAAAAGAATTTTGACTGAACGAGTTCGCGAACTGAGAGAATTGCGATGTAACTTATCAATGGAACGATTTACCAATGCAGATTTACGAGATGATATATCAAGGCAGCAAAATAAAATAATGAAATTGCAGAAAAAACTTGACGAAAAATCAGTGAAAATAAAGGAATTGCAAGCGGAATTGATAAAACCAAGCACTCCTCAATCATTCCGTTCAACAGAGAACAATTCTCAGGAGGAATATTACAAAAAATATATTAATGATTTAGAAAGTCAATTGAATAAACAGCAGGATGAAATTAATAAACTAGAGACAGAGAAAGATAATCTGTCAAAAGAGCTATGTTGCATCCGCAGGACATTTACACACTATAAGGAAAATTTTGCAAGTTGTGAACGATCCTTGGAATCTTTATCGAATAAAATTGAATCAAAGGACAGAGAATTGATAGAACTTAGAATATATAATGAAGAATTACGCGGCCATATTAAAGAATTGAACAAAAATGCTAACGCAGAACAAAGTTTCGAAGTTGAAGATGCATCATTTCATGCCGCAAAGTCGTTAAACACCAGCGAAATTTTAAGTACAGTGGTCGAAATTCAACTCCAAGAAGCTAAAGAAGAGTCTGCTATATTGCATGCTCAAGTGGATTCCTTAAAAGGAAGATTGGATATACTTACGAAGGATTATCAAACTGTGATGGAATTGAATAGAGATCTACAACAGAAAGTAAAGATGCTAGATCGAGTACAAACAGAATTAAATGAGGTTCAGAAAGAATTAGATGTGTCGAATGCAGCTGTCAGCAGTTTACAGGCGGAAAAAATTTCTCTCGTTACTCAAACTGAAGATTTGAAAAGTTCGCTTTCATCTAAGGAGAAAAAACTATCTGAAACAGAACAATCGAATATTGTGCTGAGTACAGAATTGGATAACTTGAAATTAGATATGAAGAACTTGATGAAATCGCTTGAAGCTGAAAAGATCAATTCTTCAAGCTTAAGCAATGCTCTAGTGCAAATCAAATCACAGGTGACAGAACATCTTGCATGCATTAATAAGCTTACCGATGAAAAAAATTCATACAAATCTTCCATTGAAAATTGCAGTAAAAATTTAAGAGAGATTTTACATTGCAATAATCAGTTTGTATTAGATGAAATTGATAGTTTGGATAACTGGACACTTAATGATCTGACGAAATACATTGAGACAATGTTACACAATTGTAATGTAATGTGCGTTTCATATGTAAATGATATCGAGAAATTAAAAACAACGATAGATGAAACAAATGCAAATTCGCTTAGACAACAATTAATCATTTCAAACCTGAAAGAGCAAAATGAACAAAATCTTACAGAATTAGTTAATATTCAGGAAGACAAAAAACAAAAGGATTTATTATTAAAAGAGCAAGAGGATATTATCCATAAATATACACGAGAAATTGAAATTTTAAAAGAAATTAGAGATGAAAAACTTATTTTAGAACAAAATGTACTTGAATTAACAAATAATTTAACGAACCGGGAATTATTGTTGAAATATCTGATGACGCGGTTAAAAGAGCTACAAAAGATAAATACAGATTTCAAAATAATAAAAGAAGAAACAAAACGAGAGTTTAATGAATATCAAAAGAATGTTGAATTAATATTTGAAAAGTTGCAATACGACTATTGCACATTACATCATAATTTTTACAAAGTACAACAAGAAAAAGAGAAGTTAGGGTATAATTTCAATTGTAGTAAGGAAGAATTATCCAAGATTTTAGTAATAAATGCTACATTACAACAAAATTTACTGGAATGCAATGAAAGAATAAGTGCTTTGGAGGAGAAGGAAAAAATTCTCTTTGACGAATTAAATGAATCAAAACGCAATGCGCAAGAATTAAAAGATAAAAATCAAGCATTGAAAGAACAATACGCAACGATGAAAACTGAGGCGGATGAAAACCTGGAATGTCTCAAGTTAAATAATGCTAAAATATCACTCGAGTTAAGAGATGTCACTGATAAGCTTGATTTATTATATCAAGAAATAAACGACATAACGACGCAGATGGAATTAAAGGAAGCACGAATCAATGAGTTGCTTCTAGACATTTCAGCTTCGAAAACGCAGAAGAATGATTTAATACGATCTCATAAAGAAATACTTGAAGTGAGAGATACAGAAATAAGAATGAAAGAAGAAGCATTATTAATGTTGCAAACTAAAATGGAAAAATTGATGAACGAAACTAATGCTACGGAAAAGAAAATGAAAGAAATAATTATTAATCTTCAAGAAGTAAGATCTAGTCAAGATGCCATTTTGGCAACTCAAGAATCAGCTTTGAAAGAAAAATGTCTACACATAGAAGAACTTCAGGAACGATTTGATAATTCCAAAGAGGTATTGAATAACGAACTTGAAGATGCAAAATCATCGTTGCGTGAGTATCAAATAAAATTTCTCGATCTAGAAAATCAATTTAATAGCCAAAACAGGACTCTAACAGAACTGCAAAATATGCTCAAAGAAATGAATACGGAACTAGAAACAAGTAAGGAATACTGTAAGCATATGGATGCGAATCAAGCGGAAATTGTAAAATTGTGCCAAGAATTGGAAAAACCAACCAAAAATTTGAATTCTACGATAATGGAAACATGTTCAGATTTTCTTAATCAAAATTGGAACGAATTGGAATGCTACGTTAATATAGACAATAAGTATGAGTGCATTAATATAGATAATAATATAAATATTTTAAATATTATTAAAATGACGCTTGATGAATTACACAAATCTCAGAAAGTTATTTCACATTTATCTTGTATGAATGTTGAATTGAATGAAACTTTAATAAAACAAAAATTACTTATAGAAAATAGTGTAAAAGACAAAGAAGAAGTCAATAGTCTAAAGAACAAAGTACAAGAATTAGAAATTATAGCACAGAAACGAAATAACTATCTTAAGAGTCTTATTAAAAATAAGGAATCTTTAAAAGATTCTTTACAGAAGATTTTTGCCTCACGAAATGATTTAGATACTATTTTAACGTCGTTCAAACAAAAGTGGAATGAAATACTGACGAAGTTTCAGAATACCTTTTACATCGAGAGTTGTGATGAGTTTAAACAATTGCAAATTAAGAAGACAACTGTTGAAAATATATTATTAAAATGTCAGATAGATTATTCAGAAAACATCAAATTTATATCTGATATGTTGTGGGAAAAATTTTTATGGACAGAGCAAAAGTTACACGATACTTATTTGTGTTCAATACACGAGAAAGAATGTTTAGATGTACTAACAAGTGTGGATGAAGACCAATTTTCCAGTGAAAAAATGATAATTGATACAGAGCTGGAAAAATATAAAATGTTGCAAACAGATATAATAAAATCTGAAAAAGAAATGGAATCTTTCACTGCCTTAGCCATTTTGTATAATGATAATTTAAAATCCAGCGAAATCAAGAGTCAAGTAGAGGTAGAGAAGAAACTACAAAATCAAATTAATCAGCTGACAAAGGAAAAGAAAGATCTGAAAACTAAAATGGATACTATGCGTTTGAGAAATATAAAATTGGAAAAAAACATTGATGATCTTCGAACAGAGATCAAGAAATTGAAGATACCAGGGGAAGCTAATTTGACAGTGCCAGAAGCTAATTTGACAGTGCCAATAGAAACTACTAACTGTAATTTGACACTGTCAACAGAAGTTAATTTGACAGAAATGCAATTTCTGAAAGAGGAGTTGGAACGTTTGAAAGAACAGAATCAACAATTGCATGAAAAAAAGAATGAGTCAAATAAGATAGCAAAGCAAGAGTATGAAAGTCAATTGAAAGAGATTCATGTCGCATATGAACATAAACTGGAAGATATGAAACAAAAAATAGTAAGTAATTGAATATTTGATATATTTTAGAATTTTTGGATGTTTTGTATAAGCTATGATATTATATTATTTTTATATTAATTTAAATTTATTTTAGAAAACAGCATATAATGAGCAAATGGCAAAGTTAAATAAAGATCAAGAGAAAATTATACGAGAAAAGTTGCAAGATCAGATGGAAGTAATGTGCCAAAGACAGAGAGAAGAACTTAATAAATACAAAGCGCATGTTGGTGAATTAAGTTCGCAACTTTGGAGCGTGGGAGAAAAGCTTCTAATCGAGCAACAACATAAGCAAGAGGCATTACAGCGTTTAAAAGAACTAGAAATCAAAATAAAAGAGGTCCAAGCAGAACAACCATTAACCACAATTTCGCATAAGACTTGCAGGTACAAATATACAGTCGTGTATTTTGTTTTTGAATAAAACGTATTAAAGAAAATATATTATCTATTTATCCGATTAATTTATATATTACAGAATGGAGAAGCAAGAAATGTTACCTGAAAACGCACAAGTACATAAAGTAACAACATTTATAACCGAAGAGACACTCGAAAGAAGACACAGTATTAGGAGCATACAAGCAATGGGTAATGCGTTTAAAACAGAGGATGAGGAAGAAATCTTTGACAATGTTTATCTAGGTATATTTTACATATTATAGATTTACATTAGATTGATAAAAAATGAAAATTTGTTTTTCTATATCGATCTTTTTTATTCCAGCCGATATGAAAAGAGGCAATTTTGCATCTACTACAGATGTCAATCGTTTATCTGTTTTGCAAATGAGAAATTCTCTTTGTAAACCTCACTTGAAATCATCTTACGCGGCAGAAATGCAATTCCTTCCTTCAACTTTGACTGAAGAAGAAATTAAAGTGTGTTCCTTCTTAATGTATATTATATATCTTGTATTTATTGCATATGTTAAATATTTTGTTAATCCCACGTATATACATATACATTATATGCATTATATTATGCAATATTTTTATTATTATTTCATAGACGGGTTCTCCAGTAGAAGAAAACTTTAATGATAGTCTTAGCCAAAGTCTTCTTCCAGAACAAAAAGCGAGGAAAAAGGATAGAACTCAGGTAAGCATCAAAATTATATTTTCATCATTTTATATCAATCATCTGATGTATAATAAGATGATTTTATGTATTCATTGTTAGATATCATATAAAAAACCTGGTCCTCCGACACCAAGCAAAAATGGAGGAAGATTATCATTGCAGGTATTTAACATATCCTTGTATATGTTATTATTCTCTGCATAATTTTTTGTACATATAATTGCAAAGATAATCTCTTTGAGAATTCACTAAATGTGAAAGGAATTTATCTAAAGCTTTTACAACACTTTTATTAAGTAAATGTATTATTATAAAATTATCACTGAAACTTTTTTTTTTATATTTTTAACAGGGCAATGAATTAAAAAGTCCAAGTTCACGCGTACTGAGAGAGCGAAATGTAGATAAAAAAACAACGACTACACCCCATTCATTAAAGAACATATTCTCGTTAAAACGGCAAGATGAAGTGAGTATGAAAAAACTACAAAATTATTTTTTAAGTGATATTAATATATAAAACCTTTTTTTTTTTTTAAATAGAACACTAGTACACCAAAGGGTCGCAGACTTAGTAGTCTTTTTCGCAAACCTCGGCAATCGGATCGATAAATAAATTTATTCATAATAATGTATAAAAAGTAACAATATGTTTGCATAACAACAAAAAGAGCTCTACAAACTACAGATTATTTTAATCTTTTATACATTTATATATAGATTAAAATAATCTAAGTAAATATTGCAGAGGTTTATATATAAATGACATGAAAGAAAAATTTATAATAATTTATAGTAATTTTATTTTATGATCATTTTTATTTTGTATCATGTCAAATATCATTCTGTATTGGAAAATTAAGAATTATTGTAACCTTCTGCAATAATGTATAATAATTGTAAATAGCATGTATTACATAAATAATATTCTAAAAATTTATATAAAACAAACAAATGTATAAAGCATTATTACAATATATATTTACACTGTATTATTACAATATATGCAAGATAGAATTATAAAAAAAAGTATATTCATTATCACTAAAGCATTATCATATGTCTGCGCATTTACAAATGAAATTATATATATTTTATTTTGTCTATACATGTGATAATACTTTATACATATACTGAATGAATGTTTCGTATAAATTAATAGAATTTTAATAAAACTAGACGAAAAAAGAAATAATATTCTCTCATAATAGTCATTTTTATATACAAACGGAATATATTGCATTATCTTGTAACATAATGTAATAATAAAACAAATTCAATTGAAAAAGATAAATTCCGCTTATATATAATTATCTTATAACTTTTTTAATAACTTTTAAATAAAAATGAGATATATGTGTTATAACATGACAATGAAATAAATTCCGCAGAAAAATTATAAATTTTGTTTATCTCAGTTATTTTGCAACATAACGTTCGTCTATCAAAACGTTAATAAACATTAATACTCGTTTTAAAAGCTTTTCTATATCATCCATATAAATTAAGTATGTTTTTATAATTTTGAAGTCACATAGCTGCTTTGAATATGTATCACAATCCAATCGTCTAAATTTAAGAAGAAGAGAGATAGTGAAGTTTTTAAAGACTATAACATCCCCTTATTCGGAATCAGATTCCTAAAATAAATTAATTTAAATTGATACATATTATGTAATTCGTGTTCATTAAATATTGTAATATTAATCTTACCATATATTGTCCTTCAATATATCTCCCTGAGTTTCTAGAGGTTCTCCGCAATTCCCTGTGCTCCACATGTTCTTGACTTCGCCGTCTATCACAAGATTGTGTTTTATTTGAATAATTTCAAAATACATAATACATATATGACAGAATAAATTTCATCTTTCCATACTCACGATCTTGACTGTATCTGTAATGTCTTAAGCCTGTTATCAATATCTTGAGAAGGACTTGTCGAGGTATCCTCTATAGTTGCGGATGGAGACGTTTGTGTGCCATCATTATTTTCATAAAAAGTGTTTGCTTTTGTTCCACGCGTTGCCATTCCTTTATTAACTGGTAATCTGAAAAATAAAACGATTGTACCGATATTTATCACATAACTATTTTTCAATAATAATTTAATCTATATTTCTAATCTATTTCAACTTGTGTATTACTATTTTTCTTTCGTTCTATTTAGTTGTTTCTATTTAATATATAAAATTAAAAAAATGAAAACATAAAAAGTTACTCACTGATTTTTCCGTGGACCACGCTTTTTCTTATGTTTGCTGAAATAAAAACGCCCATTTTCAGGTGGAAATGCAATTATTTTGATTACTCAATTATATAAAGGGACAAAAATATCATAATT